ACTTATAATTCTTCGTGAAAATGCTGACATGCCACCTTTGCTGTCGGGCGTGGGGACTTTTAGTCGCGTTACCGCAGTGTATATAAGTAAAATAAATGCAACGAATGCAAAAGCTTCACAGGTTGGCTTGTGTAATGTTTAAAGATGCGTGCTTGTCTTTTCTTAAGGCTTATTTAGATAGACTGGCTCGTAAAATCACTATTTAATATGACTTCAGTGCCGCTGAATTTCAGTCCGCATTGAGTCCGCAACGTTGCAGGATTCAGCTAGACCCGGTGAACGGTAAATTAACGGTAAATTCTTTTGAAAAGTCAGTCAACTGTATCATCATTATACGGCAATTAAGTAATCGGCTCTCAGTGCACACATCATACGTAGAAATTGTATTTAAATAGACATACAATTGAATGAATAACATAATATTAAGAAATAGTGTCTGAGTCAGGTATGAGGGTCATATATATATATATGTACCGGCAGTTTAGCTTGTAGTACAGAATTTTAATTGGTAGGAGGTGTGATTGTTTAAAGCCAGCAGCATTGGTGCCAATTAAGCTAATTAATTATCACCTGGTGATGCATTCAGTGGCATGTTGCCACCATCCCTTCATCCCTGGCTGCATAAGAAGAGATGCGGTCCAATCGGGCACTGCTGCAGACGCATCCCTGGGCACCCATCAGCAGCCTGACAGCTGTGAGTCCCCCTAAGCCCCTAATTGCCTCTCATTGTGCTCTTGGACTTTGAACCGGGTGACTCGGACCGGCGCCTGAGCTGTCTGTAGACTCTGCTGCCAGTGTAAAGCCCTAGTCCCTTTGTTGAGGTGAGCCGTTGGCCCAGGTTGAACGCGCCCCCCCCCGTCTTCCCTGTCCTCGCTCTGTCTCCGTTTTGATCCCATCCCCCCCCCTCATTTTTTTGGACCACCAACTTAGCCACACCTGTCCATTCCTCTGTACGGGCGACCCCCCCCGCCCGAGGTAATCTGTCTTTTCAGCCGGCCTACCCCTTTGCCGTTTTGTGAGTGATTACGCGCCTCTTCTCTGCACATGTATCATTAGGGACAATCTGGTAGGTACACATGCATGTTTAAACAAAAAAAAAAAGAGAAGCATTACCGATTCGATTACGAAATGAGGAGGCTTCGGTTTGTGAGGACAGCCGGCAACTTCAGGCGTGAGACCGAAGCTTTTAGTGGCGGCGCTGCGAACGCTGGAAGCTTCATCGAGGCTCAGAAACCCTTGAATTCAAACTAAGCGACGCTGCTGGGAGTGGAAGAGGAAGTGACATCATCAAGCCCCGCCCCCCACACACCAGCATTACAGGAAGCAGAGAAGTAGACACGTGGAGGTTACCGGTTACCGTGGTTATGCCAGGGCTGAAGCCGAGCAGACTTGATTCGTGCGAGATACTTCCATCGAGACACATGTCCCATTCAATGGCTAAACTCAGCTTGACATTCATGCCGCTGTAGGGGCCAAATCAGGGGCCCTGCTGGTGAAACAGGGGCCCTGCTGGTGAAACAGGGGCCCTGCCAGTGGATCTTATAGTGAGTTTGATAAGGGGAACTGTGTGGGGAGGTGGTGTTTTCTCAAGATGACCTCATACACTTTGCTACTCATCATTAAGGCTGTCTGGTCTGCCACCCCCCCCCCCCCAACGCTGTAAATCAGGCCAGCGCAAGCTTTCGCACATGCTCACTGAGCACGGTCAGCTTACCTCCCCGACGACACGCGTGCTGCGTTCCTGTCAGATCTGGCATTCGAGGTCCATGTCGATTCTTGAGTTTTTTATTTTTTGGTGCTGGAATATGTGGCGCCCGCTATCTTTCTGACCGTGTCCCCGTGAGCGTATGGGTCAGATGGACAGGCCAAGTAAAGCCGCCGTTACGCGGGACGGAGAGACGCTCTGCTCGGTGAGTCCGGTCTGCAGTGAATCACTTTTTGGGTTAATTGCCCGCAGGTATGTAACGGGATTCACTGCTTCCAGTTTATCTGCAGGTCAGACTCTTTGATCTCGCGTCGAGATTAACCCCGAAAACAAAGGCTGCTGGGAACAGGGAGTCGTGGGCCTTTTGGAAACCCCGGCGTAACCCTGCATCCAACCCCAATAAAAGTCAAACAGAAAACAATTTACTGCCTACCTGGTGATGCGTCGAACGAACTGTAATGTTAAAAAGCTGGACGCTGTTCTGAATGTGTAGATTATTTACTATAAGCTGTTAACGAGGGGGGGGGGGGGCACTTTCATTCCCCATTAATTAAACCCAGGTATCTGTCTTCTGGTCTCTGAAGATATGTAAAATAAAATGTTTCAGATTGTATCTGTTTTGTTAGGTGAAGACAGATTTTAAGCATATGTCGGTCACATTAGCCAAAATTAATAATATCAGGCTGGTAAATGACGCCTGGAAGCAGGGGACGCTTCTCTGATGAGATCAGGGATTCTGTGAGTCTCAGACACACCACCAGAAGCTTGACTGAAGGTCTGTCATTGTCCCTGTCAATCCCTGCCAGCCCTGGCTGACAGTTTGACTGACAGCTCATTATGTTCACGACTGCATATTATATATATATGTGACTTTTTATCACACTTTTCCTTCCCCCCCCCCTCCCCCCCATCTAAAGAACTCCTTGCAGCTAGTCCCTCAAAAGCAGATTTACCTGGAATTGAGTTCAATTTACTCTCCTAAGCCATCAGAAGGAAAAAAACGATCAAGTTTCCTTTTTCTATCCATGGGAATTTTGTACGGCGACGGCAGGAGTCGGCCTGATCCCTTTGGTGATGCGCGTGTTTGCGTTTAATTACTCTATTGCCAAACGGGGCCTGAGTGTCCGAACGCTTTGATGCAGGTGGTGTGTGTGTGTGTGTGTATGGCAGGAAGAGGACGGTCACTGTTCACTCGTCCGCATAACCACAGGTGAGACTCAAATGTCACTTTGGGTCCTCTGTGACGGGTGCCTTGGACTGGATCGTGGCAGGAGATAGGGGTAGAGTGGCTATAAGGGTTATAAGTAGGGTTAGGGTTGGGGTCATATCCCTCACCGCTTCTCCGATGTTGACAATCATGTGACACAAGGAAGCGCATTCCGCTAAACGGGATTCCTGTGTATCGCAGCTTCGTGTGTGTGCTCACACACATCCAAGATACACATACATATTCATCTGTATAAATAAGAAGCACTAACGAAATCGAATCAAACGAAGAAGGCATGCGGGCTTATTTAAAGGTCAGAGCGGTTACGGGTATGGTAGACGGCGTGGTTGATTCTGGAGTTGATGAACGAACCCTAGCAGTGTAGAGTCGCTACCAACGGCCGGGAAGTATATCAACGGAGGAATAAACTCACTGGCTTAATTTAAGGCCTAGGAGAAAGAATGGTAATTCCTGTGTAATTGTTCTGTGTGATCGCTGGTCTGGCTTGTAGCAGGGAGGTGGTTCACTCAGGCCCTCAAGCATAATGAAGGACAGATCGCATTCCTTCTGTAGGTCGCCGAGATCTCTGGTCAGCTTCTTACCCCCCTTGATCTCCGCCAGTGTTTGTTTTTGCTTTATTGTGTTTTTTTTTTTCTTCGCTGTTTTAATTCCTTTTATGTGAGGAATACGGATCCGTACGAGGGGCTCTGGGAACGCAGGCCGCGGTGGGTCAGGATTGGCGCTCACACATGCTTCGAATTTACAGGGCTTTCTCTGTCCGGGGCCCCCCTCTCACGCTGGGAAAGTGACCCCAGCCTGACTCCTGGTCCTCAGGGTGCACTGTCAGTTTAGGTCCAGGCTGAGCGCGTGGCCTTACCCACCAGAAGCAGCCTTCCTCATTCTCGGGCCTCAGCTGGTGGCGTCCCACTCCGAACAAAGTTAAACTCCTTTTCTGTGCCAGAATTTTCTGATTATTAAACTTGGTCGACTCCATATGACTATAGGTCCTAAAAGCCTGGAAAGTGAGACCAGTCCTTCTATATGCCCCAAATGCAGCTGTTGTTTACGTGCCATGCGTATACGCAATATGTTTAACCGCATTTACAAAATCCTGCATTTGTAGCCCGTTCACCACAGAAATGTAAGAGGTCCCAGTTATTCCGTTCACAAATTTAAAACAGCAATCACGTCCCGTACCCCCCCCCCGCAATAAAACCATATGTGGACAAAGAGTGACACCTGGTGGCGATACAGAGAATTGTGCCTGTTTGTTTCTGCAGTCTTAAAGGGAAAGCGTCTCCCCCACATTTTGTACATAAAGTGTGGGCGCTTTTTCACAGCGCCAGGTAGCGAATTTTTCAAGTCAGTGGTCCCAGTGCAGAAAGATATGATCACAACGCGAGACAGTATTAATATCAACATTGCATGTTACACACATACAATTCTCACACCACAAGGACTTTGGTAGTCCGTTGGGTTGAGATCTGGCTTTTTCATACCTTCGTACTGTCTGGACATTATACGGCAGTATACAGTATTTTTAAAAACAATGTTATCTTGTAACACAGTTCTTCTATTTTGAAATCTTGGTGATAAAATTCACCAAGTCCAGGTGCAGCTTCCCTGAATCATTTTTACTCTGTTATAGTAAACAAAACTCAGCAAGCTTTGCAATGAATATATGTTCCATTTTAGATTCTGACCAGATCGTACAGCTTGAGTCTCTACATTTGTTCAGTCATCCCTTAATATTACGTCTTTTTTTTGTTTTTGTTTTATTTAACTTCGTTTGTCGTTGCTTCCTGAGTTTGTCACTGAGCTCTTTCAGGATGGTGGTCACCTTTTGTTTCAGAAGCAGGTTATTTGCATAATCAAAACTGAAGATGAACACGTTTACAAATCCCACCCAAAGTACCAACGGAGTACCCCAGCTGGTTTAGTACTTCGGTACCGGCATATAACCGGAAATCAATGAGAAAAGGACATTACAGATTCCAAAAGTTCAGTACCTGGTGCAGTGGAAAAACACCCTAAATAACAGACACTAAGCTGGAAGTATAGAGGTGAAAGGAAAGGAATGCCGATGGATTTTCACATTGAAATATTTACTGAAACATTTAATACACTTAACTTCCAACATTTTTAATACACAAAAAGCTGTGGTAGCTATTTATAAAACAAAAAAAAACAAAGGAAAAAAAATCTACAGGGGTAACACATAATAGCACAGCACAGATACAAAAATGCCTCTTGCACGGCTCTTGCACACCAAACACGCTGTAGTGCAAAAGCTCCTTCAGTAAAAAATATTTTTTTTTTTTTTAAGAAATACCGTCTACATGAACAACCATTCATGGACCACCTGCGAAACAGTGCAAGTAAAAACAGAAGTCAGTGTCAAAATTGACAGGAAATGTTGAAAAAAAAAATCCCAATGATCTCAAAGATCATGACAGTAATGTGAATCAAAGAAAAAAAAAAAAAGTAGAGCTTACAAATCAAGGTTTTCGGGGGCGTGAGGGATTCAGTTGGCGTCAAGTTTTGCCATTTCCTGCACATAGATGCCTATGCTTTCGCTGTCGAAAAGAACGAAGTAGACCGTCTTGATGGAGGAGGACATCGTTCCCATGAAGTAGCTGGAGATGGCTTTCAGGATGACCTGGGCGGCAGTCTGCTTTGGGAAGCCGTTTCTTTAAAAAATAAAAGAACTCGGTTAAAATACTAATTGGCTAACTATAAAAAAACAAGAAAAAACTCTGGCTTATCTTTCTTATTGGCCAACTCCATTAAAAAATAAAATCTGGGGGTGTTTCTCAATATGCGTCGTGACGCTACTTGTGTTCTCATGTACCCGTTTTATGTCGTCTTCCACCGTCGAAGACCAGGTTCAATGCTCAAAAACAGAAGTACAGAGGATGGTAAAAATCCCCAGATGTCATTCTAGCAACGCCCCAAATATCAAGGATACGTCGGTAGCATCCTCGCCGAACGAGGCCAATCCCATGATTCACTGAGGCCCAAGTTCGTTCTTGGGAGGCAAGTTAGCAAGATGGCTCTTGCCAAGACCACAAGTACGATCTTTGCGTTCTCGGTATTCAGAAACACCCTGGGTTGTGCATTTCTTTTTCGCTAACTTCATTAAAAATAACTCCGGGTTATGTTTATCGGCCAACTCCATTAAAAACCAAAACAAAAACCCAAAAAAACTCTGGGATACGTTTCTTATTGGCCGACTCCCTAGGAGCCCGGATCTCTGTGCGATGGGGGACCTCTATGGTCGTGATAGAGACCACACTAGACCTCAGACGCCCGTCCCCTCCCTACCTGCCGCTGCCAATAGAGGGGAACGCCACAGACTTTAGCTTCTTCTCGTCCGCCAGTGCCAGGCAGTTCTTCACCGTTTTATCTAGCAGCTCCTCGCATTTGTCGGAGCCCCAGCCTGGACTGTTACAGTGGATGACGAACTTGGCCGGAAGGGCGCAGCCAGAGGTAAGCGCCGCTGCGGAGGGGATGTGGGAATTCAACACCGTCTATCAATACTCATGTACAGGTACATATACATCCATCCACCCATCCACCCATCCACCCATCCATCCTATCATCCTCCAACCACTTCTCCAGTACAGAGTGATAGGGACGATGGGGCCGAGGGCCTGGATAGAGGCGATTCTAAGATGTGGGGTTGCATAGGAGGGACCATAATTCATACAGAGGGGCTAATCTCATTATTAGCCAATGATGTTTTGAATGGGCGAGTGGACAGGGGAGCGGGCACCGAAGTGACCAATCAGATGAGGACCCGCCCCTGTATACACCCTCCTGGTCCTGGAGCCTACGCCATAGAAGAGCCGGGGCTACACCCCAGATGTGAAGCCCTCACCGTCATTCATAGTCTCATCCATTTTGTCAGTGTTCGGCATTAGTCACTGTCACTGGAGGACTAATATTGTTGGGACTATTAGGAAAATACACAAAATCAGGGCCCCCCCCCCTCATACTTACCTCCTGCCACCTCCAGGGGGCCATTCTTCTTGCGCAACTCCACCACCGCCTCCCCAAACTCCTTGCCGCCCTTCTTCTCCAGGGCGCTCCCTGTGGAGAGGGCATTCCTGGGCCGTTAGCTCGGGGGCGGGGCAGGGCACCGTGGGGCTGTTAGCGAGCAGACTGCGAAGCAGCCCCCATGTTGGGGCACGATTCTACAGCGGGTGGGGCTACTCGTGTATCTCAGGCCTCTCTGGACGGCTCTCCATCTGGGGGGGACCTGGCCTATGCCATGGACACACCTTACTGGCTGTACAGGTCATGCCGCTGGCGCGCCAGAATTTGGAGTCCTTGGTGTAACATTGTTGGGGCAATCAAATGGAGGCCAATCGAGTCTTAGCGTCCTGGCGGGGCATCAAATGGAGGCCGATCGAGTCTTAGCGTCCGGACGGGGCATCAAATGGAGGCCGATCGAGTCTTAGCCTTCCAATAAGCTGTCAGAAGATGCAAGCTAACGTCCAGAGAGGGGAGAGAGAAGGGGCATGCAGAAGGGTGCAGCTTGCCCAGTGAGAGGGCACGCAGAAAGCGGGGGCGAGCAGCTGAGTGACTGCATGTTAAAATGGTGCTCCTGCCTTCTTTTTGAGTCAGTGGGACGTCAAGCATCGATGCATATTCTCCCGACCCCCCAGAAAGGAAATCAAACGCATGGGAAGACCATGAAACCCACAGAGCCTCACAGACTCACAGCCAGGGATGGTAGAAGGATTCTATTGGGGGGGGGGAGGGGCATGATTCATATAGCAGCCGACTTTATCATTAGCCAATGATACGTTATCGATCGGTGAGTGACAGGGGAGGGGCACTCCAGGGGCCAATCAGCTTTCAGCTAGTGCCCCTGTAGCCCCGCCCCTATATACACCTCTGCTACCAGCTGGAGTTAGTGGGCCCGAGGAAGCACGGGTAGCAGGCGGAGTGGGGGGAAAATGCATCATGGGAAGCCCGCGCAGTGCACACAGAACCCCCACCGTGACAAAGGCTCCATTTACCTACTTCACCACCCGTGTGGTAGGTGGAATTGGTCGGGTGAACTACAGCGTCGCTGTCGATGGTGGCAATGTCAGCCTGCACAACTTGCAACTACAAACGACAACGACAGGCAAACAAACACGGCATCAAACACTGTGGGGGAGAGAGAGCGCAGAGGATGGGGTGGGGGCACGACGACGACAACAGAAGGGGGGGGGGGATGCTTCCTTTAGAAAGCGCAGAGGGAGAGAGGGATCGGGGGGCAGGCAATAGACCAGTTAACCTGATGGAGGGCGGTAACTCAGGGTGATCGAACGGACACTGGTGTCAATGAGATGGCTGACAGTCGGGAAAACGGTCCACAGAGGTTTGAGGAAAATCCTTGAAATCTGAGACTGACTTTACGCTCGAGACAGATGCATACTGCAAATCACAGTGCTTTGGTTTAGTCTTTTGATGCAAATGAAATGTTTTGCAACTCCAATCACAACATTGCTTTCACGAGTGGGTCATGAAGCCAGTACCTCCTGGTCGGTTTTCAAGTAATTTTGGTTCTGTTTCTTTTCAAATGACTGGACCCAGAGCCCAAAGCCTCCTGGCTGGTTTTCAAAGATTTCATTTGTTTAGTTCGTTTTTAAACTAGTGGGTGACAAACCCAAGACCTCCTGGTTAGTTTTCAAGGATTTTTTTGTTTTGTTTTTGCTCATTTTCAAACCTTTGCGGCGTGACTCAGGGCCTCACCTAGATCATCTTTAAGGTCAATGTCAGCATTGGTGGGATTGATTACACCCTCCACGTCAAAGCCAGCCAAGTTACTGATCTCACTGTGAATGAGGTTCAGCTGGAAAGAGAGCATGCAGTGGGGCAGGGGGGGGGGGCAGGAAGCAGAGCGATTAGAAAAATCATCACGCAGGAGCTGATTCGAGTTAGAGGGCACGGAGAGCACGAGCCCATGCACAGCAGCCCAGGCGGGGTCGTGTTAAGGCTCCCTGTGTCGTGACCTTTGACCCCTAGCGGAGGTCGCGGTCCATCCGCTTCCGTCGTACCTGCGGATGATCTAGATCTGTGGACGGGATTAGGTGAATAAACCACGCCCATGTGGGGAGTCACGTGATGTCAGGGGAGGAGTTGCCTTGCAGCCCGGGTCAGACTGGGGTCTTAGCCCCGCAAAGCAGCCCCTATTCCGGCAGCCATTTAACCTACAGGCCCCTTAACCCTGAACATGAACCTGATTGGTAGCCGACAGCCATCTTCATTAATTCATTAATGTTTACCCCTCTAACAGGCTTGAAGAAATCACAGTTCGTAAAACATAACAATAGCATAATAGAACAGAACAGTGATACTTGATTAATTTCTCTTTTCGCCTACCCCATCTTGCTCTCTATGAAACACTCAGACACATATACAGGTGAGATAAAGCTTGGGGAGGAGGGGGGGGTCACAGTGCAGGGTCAGCCAGCGTGCAGCGCCCCCGGACCTGGGGGTTAGGCTCCCTGCGTAGGGGCCGGATGGCGGCATCGGTCTGCTGGCTCTGGGATTTGAACCAGCGACCTTCCGATCACGAGTCTTAACCCAATGAGCCACATGTCGCCCCTCCCCCCCCCCCAAAATGATGAAACTGAGAAGGAGCAATAAGCTTCCAAGGTCATCTCTCAGCCAATACAAAGCATAGCTATACATGAGGACACTTTTATAGAAGTATGACTGTAAACCTCCGCAGGTGGGGATTAGAGAGAGAGAGCGAGAGAGCGAGAGAGAGAGCATGTGTGAAGCTGTTAATCTGTCATCCGATCACCATGAATCTGAACTTTGACTCTTTCCTTATCTCGAAGCTCGACCAATTTCCTGCAAGGAAGATGCATTAAGAACCTAAAAATGACCACCACATGATCTGCGGCAGGATGATTTTATGGTTGGCCTTGAACGCATTGTACAACATTCTGACATTTTCAAAGCTCACAATTAAACCCCTCAAGGAAGGGGTCAGACTTAGGCACTCTGACCAGTCATCAAAACGGGCCAGAAAAACTGGGACCCACTTGCATTGGGATCTGACGCTTCTGAAAAGCAGAGTTAAGGGGTCTTTTGTACTGTTGAGCAGAGAAAAAAAGCACCAAAGAACACGTTGATCCTGCCTTCAAGGGAAAGAACAGAAGGTCGTTAGATCAAATCAGGGGAAAACTGTTCCCAAGCAGTGCAACCATGGCCGCTTCTTCAGAATTAAAGCACCGTCACTGTGGCCTGGACCCCCTATGCTCATTTTAAGTACACACAACCTGACTCAATTTCCCATAATGCATTGCACCCACTCCCACTGTCCCATAATGCATTGCTGCAGCTACACTAATTTCCCTCCATGCTGCTGGTAGTGTCATGTGCGCTGTGTGGCCATGCCCCCTCCCCTTATCAATCACATCCACCCTGATTTCCATACATTCCCTACTAGGCCACAGTGACGCCAAGCTGCGACGTCTGGACCGCACCACAGGTCATCCTGCCATCGGACGCAGCACCATCAGTCTCCTGCCCTGACATCAGCAGTCAAAACTCCTCTGGACCGTTTGCATTTACACTCAGACTTTAACAATTTGGAGCAAATCAATCAGGACTTTGTTAGACTTCCTCTGCTGGTCCAAGGAGGATGGGCTCCCCCTTCGATTCTGGTTCCTCCCAAGGTTTCTTCCTTCTAGGGAGTTTTTCCTTGCCACTGTCGCCTCCGGCTTGCTCACTGGAGGCTTTGGGCTGGGATAATGTAAAGCACTTTGAGACAGTGTAATACAAATAAAAATTGAATTGGACTGAACTGCAACATGACTAACAGGACTGAACATTCTCCCCCAGCCCTAAACATACGTCTTGGACAGCAAAGTGTTGGGGGGGGGGGGGGTGGTGTTTATAGACGAACTCCAGTAAATAACACTTACACATTGAATTTTTTGGCATTAACGGAGGAGACAGTGAAGTGGGTCCAGCAGATTGCGTCTTTGGAACGATACGCCATTTCTGAGTCTCATATAGCGCTTACGCCTACGGCATACAGATGGTGCTCTTCCAGCTCCCATTGGATAGCCGTACCGCGGTCGCGGTCTTAGCGCTGAGGTAACACTTCACTTAAATGTCACGTGGCGTGAAGAAACAGCCAACGCTACAAGTAGGACCAGAGCTTACGCTGAAGCGTATGGACAATATTCGCGCGACGCGCACTCTCAGTGCCGCAAGACGCACCCTGATTTCTGAAGCTACTGTCTCTTTAACTGGACACACAATTTGAGCTCTGATGTTCATACAGTAGGGATGGTGCCTTGACCACACTGCTAGGGAGCTAAAATGGGCTGAGTTTAAGGGGTGGGGCAAATGGTTCATTACGGCAGCTTTTTATGCTTCTGGTTGAGCCCAGTGTCTCCTGGGGGGTCTCCAGCCTCCTAAATTTGGCCTTGCACCAATCCCCTTAGTGACCCTGGTCATGGCTCCACTTGTGGCCCATGCGTCCTCGAACCAGCAGCCACCGTAACACGGCCCTAGCAGGCAGGCCGGCAGTACCTTCTGCCCCAGGAAGAGGCTCTTGGTGGACAGGATGGTGAAGCCGTTGGCCGGTGTTCCCTCCGTGGTGCTGTCCGCGCTGGCCGCTTTGCTCATCTCTCCCTGCTTCTTCTGCGAGGGGACAGACAGAGGGCACAACCAATGGCTGAGCGCCTAAGGCGGTACCGAGGCCCCGCCCCCACAGCAGACTAGCACAACAGCTCCTGCGATCTTCCCGCCTCCCTACCTTTGACTTGCCGGCGGCCTTTCGGCCGCCAGCTTTCTTGGCGGCTGATTTCTTTGCGGGCGACGCCTTGGACTTTTTGGCGGGTGGGGGGGTGATGATGGCCTCCAGCTTCCCTTTAGAGCCCCTCTTCTTGGCCAGCAGCTCTGGGTGGATGTTGGGCAGCACACCCCCTGCCGCGATGGTCACGCCCTTCAGCAGCTGTTTTCGGGGGGGGGGCGGGGTGGGGTCAGGGGTGAAGCATGGCTGAGCAGTTTTCATGGATGCCCGGGCCAGGTGCACATCTGAACAAGCCCCCAGGGAGGGTTCGGCGGGGGCCGGGGGGAATCCACAAGGTCACGACTGCTTGTCCCCTTACAACCGATGTGCTCGTCATTGGCGCTGAGTGGATTGGTGATCGTTTGCTTCTGTCTATTTTTACTCTCTGGCTCATGGTGCTCAGGGGCTGGTCCCCGGAATCGGGGCGAAAAGACGTGGCACACCCAAGATGGGACCTCAGTCACTATGAAAGCAGTTTATTCAACCCACGGTTTGTCAGACAACGTTTATGATTAAGATGATAGGGGATTGTTTGGGGCATACTGAAGGACTGGTTTGGGCCCCCTAGCAACTAAGCTCAGAGGACAGCTCAGGCATTCTACACAGTTACCTGACACAGCATGTTACTCTGCCATAAGCTTTTAGTTAATTCTTGGGAAAAAATATAAGGATTTCTAACAGGCATTCACAGAGGCCAGCTAAAGGAGCACACAGGACCCGAAGGTGGACTCACACCTGGTTGAGTTCCTCATCGTTGGCGATGGCCAACAGGATGTGTCTTGGTGTGACACGGCCCTTCTTATTGTCCCGCGCCGCATTGCCTGCCAGCTCTAGGATTTCGGCTGAAAAGACAGCAGTGGCAGGATTATAACCCATTTAATAGCAAAACAATGATGCCACCTGACCGCCTGCTGTTGTGGATCTGCACCGCAGAAGGAAAGAACACTATTAAATAATTTGTGCCATAACATCTTTTCACATGAGATAAAGAAAAAGTAAATAGTAGCTCTATTTGGAGTGAAAGGAAGATTAAAACCCTCAAGGACTGAACAAAATGATTTTGTGTTTTCTTTCGTAGCCCTTTAATACCTGCGATTTGAAAATAAAAAGCCTATTTTTGGCTGCCACAAAAGCATTTTAAGACTTATCCTTCAGACTGCTTCAGATCTTCCTCTTCATGAGGCAACCAGCCGGCTAGTGTGCAGAACCATTCATGCCCGTTTACCAGCACTCAAACCTCGTACCCCTGTTGACCACAGATAGTCACTACACTAAATATTAAAGTTAATGTTCCTTATTTGGGAGGTGCTGGAGCTAGCATGCTCCGCTAATCAGCTCACTAGCTATGACCATATAACACTACTTGCTAATTATTTAATTTTATTTTTGAAATATCTGGGGGCAAAGTCACTTTTTGAGGGGGCGGCAGAAATAACAAACCGATCCTATATGACATAATACTGTATTGACAGTGCAGTGCATACGTGAGGATAACCTAAATTAATAATCACTTTGATTTACGTATGAAAGGAAGCGATCAGTCACCTGTGAGGTACTCCAGCACAGCTGCCATGTAGACGGGGGCCCCCACACCGATGCGGTACTTGGGGAGGCCTTTCCGGATGTAGCGCAACATGCGGCCCACGGGAAAGATGACGCCGGCCTTGGTGGACCGCGACGTCTTTGTGGTCTTCTTCTTCCCTCCTCTGCTGGACATGGTGACGCTGCCGGTCCGGATTCACGGCGACGGGGGAAATGCGAGAGGGAGAGAACAGCTCAGCAGGCGGGACAGGGGGGCGTCACGAGGTCCCCCCCTCTCCGGCGTCGTGGGACTGAAACGCCACTCGGACACATTTCCCACAAAGCCCCGCGAACCTGCACATAGGTGCATTTGCCCAGTTTGCTTGTGACAGGCCAGGGATACCTTACTGAGCCTCTCTTTCCTTGATCTGTGATTAAGACCCTGATGTTATGCACGGAATAGAGGTCAGGAAATACTATATGAGAAATCACCAATTACACATCTTATTATTCCTACCAATTATTGCCATTTAAAATATTAAATCATATGCCCTAAGACATTTAAACGTGTACTTTTAATGTATTATAACCCAAAGCCTAACCCTGCTTTAAAAGTTAAAATTAATTTTGTTTAATGCACAAAAAACTGTCGCGTTATTAAGAACCGACATACATACCGGCGAATGTACAGAATTGGGATTAAATGTCATTTATAAACTTGGGAAGAGTTACCCAATAATTAATTACCATAATATAATAATAATAATAATAATAATAATAATAATAATAGAGTGACAAAGATACAACTGTGAGTCAAATGAGGCACCTCTTCATTTCAGTTCATAATTAACTATACGCACTTTAAAACTATTGTTGGGCTTTTTGTAATGAATGCCCGCGGCAGTGTCTATTTGGATTTCATTTATTTCACTTCTTTCCCTTTTATTTACTGCACATAAGACGTCCTCGGCGTTGTTGACCGTCACCCGTCCTGTGCGACACCGTCACCGAGGCGCTCTCCACATCCACGGCGTGATTTTTAAATTCGCATTTAATAATAATAAACCGGCCGGCTGTCGCGACACCTTTCAAACACAGGTCTGATCGCCCGGCTTAGACATTATTAATTTAAATATTAAACATTTAACCTTAGCGGCGGAAAACAGCTCCGATCCGACTGCCTTTTCCTTCAGACCAGCAAACGCAACATATCTCTTCCCCAAATAAAATATACCATTTAAGTTATTCTGGTGCCGTACACTGATTATTTCGTTGTGTTAAGAAAAACACAACGTTAAAGATAACCGATGCACTATAGTGTTGTAAAAAGCAACACATATGCATGCTTTATTTAATTTATAAGCGTGGCATTTTTGCCGATGGCAGTAATTATCTCTCTGGATTATGCGTTTTCTTTTTTTGTTTTATGCAGCGGTGTTGCCATCATAACGTCATGAAGCTAGCTAGCCTAGCCGGATATATACATTTTAGAATCCATACGGCCTCCGCCTGCAAATATTAAGGAAATGGGCGCATGAGGCGTGAAAGCCGCGGTGCTGGGCGACGCGCTCCGGCAGAGCCGCTCTCCCCCGCCGCCTAACGCGTGTAAATGAGTGTCAAACGCCGTCAATTACTTACAGGACAGAGCACGGCAATATGTCTACTGTCTTCTGTCAGCTCCAATATAGCGAGCCTGGGCAGCGTCTCCGGCTCCCACAATCCACAGCGAGCGCAGTCAGCGAGCCGTGAGCCAGCCGCGGCGGGGCATGTGGCTGTGCGGGGACGCGTACGGGCGCAGAAATGCAAAAGCTATTTCGTTATTTTCAGCATGACTATCACAACCCGCTGGCCGTACATGCCGGAGATTTACCATCCGCGGCGCCTGTTTTTTTCAGGCGACCACCGATTAGTATGTGTCCTCATAATAAAGTGCCGTTTCCTACATTGAAATCCATTTCCTATAATGTTTAATACGCGTGCGCTTAGGGTAGGGCTCGTGAAATTGTCAAAACTGCACTTTTTATCGTTTTAAAGAAGTAATACGTTGTGCAAACCTATCTACCGGATTCGTAAATTAATTAGCAAGTAGTAGGTAAATAATATGGACATCTGTAACGTTTTTGCATGCATAACCACCTGTTCAACTTGGTTTTAGACACCTTTCGTGCCAACAATGCATTTAGAATTTTTTTTTTTTTTAGAATTTGGTGATCAGTGGTCATTGTCAACACACCACAGCGCGCAACAATGAAATGTGTCCTCTGCATTTAACCCATATGTGACTTTTTTGTGACATAGCAGGGGGCAGCTAATTCAGCGCCCGGGGAGCAGTGCTTGGGGGTGGTACCTTGCTCAGGGTACCTCAGTTGGTCAGGGATTCGAACCTGCAATCTTTCAATTACAAGTGTGCTTCCTTAACCATCAAGCCACCACTGCCCACAAATAAAGCAATTTACATATTTCCCTGTGTCTAGCGCAGATATTTGATATTTGTAAATTGATTTGATATAATGTTAGACAATTTCCACAAAATAAATTACTCCGAACCAATAAGTTTGAGGTTGAATAAGGCGAAATTTAAATTTTAAATACAAACTTTGATAAGGAAAGTCAAGTTTAAGATTACAGAAACATTTCAGCAAGTATTCCTTTCGTTAGAGCTCCAAATTGTGCTGCTCGTGCTCATTGCTGGTAGACAGTATAGACCTATATATGCAGATAAGCATATCCGTATATAAATTGCTAGCATATTGAAAACACTTTGTGCGTGTCTGTAATAGACAGGTATCCAACCCAGGATATTCACTGCCTTGTACCCTATATATGTTTCCTGAGGTAGGCTCTAGTCCAGGGTTATTCAAATCACGGTCCTCGAGGTCCGAGCACTGCTGGTTTTCCAGCCTTCCTTTACCTGTCAGTCAGGTGTGAATCCTCTGACCAATCAGAATCAGTAATTATTAAACTAACTACCTGGAAGAACTGAAAACAAGGCCTGGATTTGGAATCGAGATCCAGATTTGAAGAACCCTGCTCTAGTCTGTACGCCATCCCTTTCTAGATGAGCAGACGGGAAGATAAACGGATAGGCAGACATACGTGCTAGATTAAAAATTTAAAGATAGGTTACATAAAATGCCAAGGATATTTTGTTGTTAGGATGCGGATCGTATAGTACCTATATACTTTCATGTACACATGCAATGGCGCAGGAGAGAAGTTGATAGTGGGGGACAATTTCATAATTTAAATGTATAAGTCTGTTTTTTTCCCGGGGGGGGGGGTATTGTCTAATTAAATATTGGGTTCAATTATACATATTCCAGACGACAGTGTGCGTTAGCGCGAAGTATCCTAGTTTGAACTCGCTAATATGCTTTGAAATGCCTTGTAGTGGCAATATTATAACGCTAGAGGACACTGTTGCTCCCTTTATCCAGGGATCAGCTTGTTTACATGTTACATGCGGAACTTATAAGGTACAAAACGTAAGTCTTAATGCAAAACTGATTAAGCATATTCCACTTGTTTCTAGTCATTATTTGAATTATCAGTGATTAGTAAGAAGACTATGTATCCTTATATATTCAACAGTTTTCCCTATACTTTTCATATATTTCTCACATGTGATACCGTAAAATGAACAGTTCCAATTACAAGAATCGTGACTAAACATAAAATTATCGGCAATGTTAGATGTGTGGATAAGTGCTGTTAATCCCCCGTTTTCCTATTTCCTACGTTGTACAATCTCAAGCGCGCAGCACTTACGTAACTCGTGGTTTTGTTACGGGCGTCTCTCTCTCGAGGGCAGAAAAATATTTCGTGAATGCGGTTGAAGAAGTTAAATTTCAATTCAAAAAGACACGACTATTTTCTTTTAGATCGATTCTCAGTTTGCGGTGAAAGGGCCTTTTCGGAGAAAAGGGATTTTGCCCTGTTGTCAGCTGACTGTTGCACAACAAATGGAGAGCAGAAGGCGGCGTGTCCGATGTCCAACTATCCGGTATTCATAATTTCATGTAGTTAGGAGATCAACAGTTCCAACCAGGACCAAGTGTTAGGGGCTGATCGCCAGAGGACGGTAAGATCATTCCTTCGCGTTCTTGCTTTATCGCTAATCTATACACCATATCTCGGCGTTAATAATTACAGTTTTGTGTATGAGAAGCAGGGCGAAGTTAACGATAAGGATGTTTTCACTGGGTCAAATGCAAACATTGGACATGTACATGCAAACGCTAAACGCAATGAAAACACGTACGCTCTTTGTGCCGCTTTATATGGGCTGTAGGCACGACTGCAAGTATGTCGCAGGTTTTTAAACGCTATGCACGGTGACAGGAATGCAGCCGACATATGTGTGGGCAAATAAACGCAATGGTTAATGTGAGGATACATCGGTGTTTATTATCAGGGAAGATAATTATTGCGATAGCAATAATCTTAAATCCGCGACGGTTATTATATAATTCGAAGTTTAATTAAGCGAGTGTTGCCATGCAGTTGCTTGCTGGGTATGATGCACTTTTCTTCTTTGTAAATTTCCTAAAAAGTGCATCTTTAAAAAGTAGCTACGGAGTAAACGGTCCACGCAGGAAAATACTGACGCCTTTAGTAACTGATGGTTCGTTTCTTCTCCGGTTAAACTGTCACAGCGGACCCGGAAAATGCTGATAACCTTCATTATTGCCCTAAACAGAATAAAGCATGAATAAATAATCTCAAAAAAGGCTGAAAATGTTTGCATATTATTCGGGGCTGGTCTTCTCCAGTGATCCAAAGGAAAGCCCGTGTGTGTTTGAAGCTTATTATTGATGGGATCTGGACTTATAAATAACGTAACACATCGGCATAAACGTAACTGATCGTAATCACACACCCGAGATCAACCGATGCCTATTGTTACTATTTATAGTGTATGCGATCTCTTAAAAAATGATTTAGTAATTATTTAGACATTGCGGGATACTTAAAGTTCAAGATTCATTCTACAGCTCAGTCGTGCTTAATTCATTACAGCTAGGTGCATCAAATTACAGTGGTCCCGGAAAGTGGGACCTAAAGCACTCGGCTAGGTAACCCGTGAACAAGAAAACTTATCGCGCACTTCGGTTGAACCCTTATACCCTATGTAACCTGACCAGCTTCAGTACATATTCAGCTATATCAACTGATACTGCACAGCGATGACAGTCGCGCTGAATAAAACATCACAATAACAATAGCAATGAAATGTCATATTTTAAAGGAAATCAAATGGTGCATTTGCGAGTAATTGTAGAAATATTTTCGCTTTCTTATTTGCTGGTTTCCAGTCAAACTAAAAGACTACAGCTGACCTCATTCTAGAAAACAATCAAAATATCAGATACTGAACGCTGCCGTTATGTTGGTTCTTACACGAATCATTAATTATTCAGACTTCATTGAACTTCATCCATTAGTCATGATCACAATTACACATACTGTTTCATATTTAATAATAATAATGTTTAATAAGAAAATAGTATTCAACTATTATTATTTATCTAATTTGTGCTACTTGAGGTTCTTTATATTTGCACAGATGTAACTATCACAGTTTTGTTAAGGGATCCCCAGTTATTTTAGGGAATATGATTCTTATTTGTTTCACATCTGGAAATAGCCAAGGAAATCCTTCAGGTGAAGCGTGCGAGTTGTTCATCTCCTGGCACGAGCTAATAGGGACACTGTTCCTGCTCAACCTCTGCTCCTAATTGCCTTTCTGATGCGATTTTCAGATAAAGGGCCACGTCACGTTTTCAGAGCTAAATCGGGCACCAATTAAAATCCGTGCGGGAATTTGACCCTTGATATAAAGTTGGTTAAGCTCTCTGTGTATTCATAATGCAGACACCCTCATCGCCGAAAGGGACATCTACATTAGTCTAGTTAGAGTAGTAACCTACATGCTCAGCTAGACTATCGGCTTGCAAGAACTAAATTGTGCCAGGATTCTAGTTCACAATCGCTGGTGTGAAGGGATTGATTTTGTAATTTTCTCACAGACACAAAACATGGCTGGTTCCTTGGATGGCCAGAGGACTCACAGAGCGGTAAGGCCTCATGTTTTGTTTATGTATTGCGCACAACAGCTCATATGGCCCAAAACAACGCTCATATATCCCAAAACAACAACAAGAATGTGCTGGAGTGTGGTGTCGGGCATTGTGGGAAGCGACACTGGACGCGCTACCACCACGATACTGCTTGCTGTTGCGGTCAAGGCATTTAGCTTGCTCACTTGATAGCCTCGGGTTTCGGGTCAGACTTGCGTGGCGTCATTTTTTTTCTCTGTACTAGACGCAACATAAATCTGTAAAAAACTGGCAACTCACCCGTGCTTCAACAGTCACATGACTGCAGCAGGAATTAATGGAGGGGAGCAAAAATACCAGGGATGAGCAGTGTGTGTGCATGCATGTACCTGCAGGAGCCTTGTGACACCTAAAGAAACCCATCTCCTGGTCAGGATGTGTCAGTCCCTTTTGGGCCTGTGCCTGTCCAAATACTGTGGCTGGCAGAATGATCATATCACTGTTCCGCCCTCAAGCGAGGCCTTTACCCCCAAAATTTGCTCGGGGCACGCCTGATAAATAGCTGGCCCTGTGCTCTGGATTCAAGATTTGAGATTTTGATTTGTCACATACAGACGCTCCTCTACTTACGAACTTTCAACTTATGAACTTTCAGACATACGAACAAAGAGGACTGTAAGTCCAAATTGTGTTCCTTGGGCTCCCGTTTCTTGTCCGCAATATTTTTTTTTTCTGCGCGCCAATTCCGCCTAGTATGACTTCTGGCCGCTACTCCCGCCGCGCAGCAGCGTAGCGTGCGTACTCCCAGCATCCTAGATCTTAGTGCTTGCGTATACCCTTAAAATGATGTTGAATAATGACTTACGAACATTTCAAGTTGCGAACAGCCGTTCGGAACGTATCTTGTTCGTACAGTAAGTAGAGGACATCTGTTACATGCATGTAGTGGCATACCAGCAGTGAAACTACCCCAGACTGTGCAACAAACAAGAAGGATAACAATAATAATGTTAACGAAATAAGTATTGAAAATATCGAAATGTATAAAATGTACATGAAAAGTAAAGATAAAAAAAGTTAAGAAGAAATTGAGAAATTATTTAAAGCACAGGTTGCAGCTATAGTTTAATTTAATTGGCGGTGTTAACAATTTCAGTGGCCTGGGGGGTTAGAAGTTTCGAACTCCGAGGTTCACAGATCAGTAGTGATAGCGGAGTAGTGATGATCAGCTGCACGACTACATTTAGATGGTCAGCTTTGAGCTCCAGTAGTCAGGGGAAGTCCGGGCGATTCCAAGGGCCACAAGGAGGATTAGGGGCCCGAAAAAATTTGGAACTAATTTGATCATCTGGGTTGGGGTCTCACTTCTAAATTTTATCATGCTGTTTCTCCCTACATGTTGCTCTACTGTTGACACTGTCTGTTGTTGGCACATCACACAGCAGTACTGGAATATGTACCTTCGTTGATCAGTTTAACTTAATCCGCCTGTTACTGTCACTGGTTTTTAAGTCTTGCTGGACGGAGTTATGCGACTGCAGCTGTAAATGCAGGCCCTGCTCCCACAGCCATTTACGTGGACTCAGCAGTTGCAGTCGTGTAGGAGATATGGCAGGCCCACTAACATCCATGTGCTGGCCTTCAGGAACATTCCACGGGGCTCTGGGACTCTGTGAGGAAGGCCGCCTTCGTCATCGGATCCAGCCTCTTCTTCCTGGCTGCGTTCCGGAACTCCATCACATGGTACGGAGGGAGCCAGTGGGCGGGACGTGAATTTGGGCCGAACGTGCAAGGCTTTTCCCATTTCTATGTAATCAATTCCCGGAGAGCGTTTTTTCTGTTTTTGTGGGAATTCAGTGTTACACCTCATCATGAGGGCTTGTATGTAGAAGTACCAGCAGAGTTGATGTGAAAATGGCTAATTCACTTCTCCGTCTCACATACAAGGCATCTGCAGAGGTTCTGGGGGGCGTCTGGAGACTTCTGGCAGATGCAGTGGACTAAAGTTCACGCACTGTTCGGTGGAAGGGAGTGGGCCTTGTTCTTCGTGGGTGAGTGGAGCTCAGCTGGCACCAGAAGATAGACATACAGACCCAGGAGAGATGTGGTGTATGAATTTATAAAACAAGAGCATGGGTGTAAATTATGGATGGGATTGGGCCTAATAATCAAAACTGACCAAGACAAACCCCCCCTCCCAATTAATCACAAAATGGGTAGAGACCTTAACCCCCTCAATGTTCAACTCAAAGTTATCCTATTGGATGGGAGAAAAGGTAAGGAACTCAAGTTTCAATTTACTTCATATTTTAGTATTACGGTATACATATACAGATGCTCCTCTACTTAGGAACGAAGAGGACTGTAAGACCAAATTGTGTTCGCTGGGCTCCCGTTTCCTGTCCACAACGTCAAAGTTCTGCACCCCAATTCCACCTAGTACGACTTCTGCCCGCTACTCCCGCCGCGCAGCAGCGTAGCATGCGGACTCCCAGCATCCTAGTTCTTTGTACTTGCGTGTACCCTTAAAATGATGCTGAATAACGACTTGCGAACATTTCAAGTTACGAACGGCAGCTCGGAACGTAACTCATTCGTAAATAGAGGAGCGTCTGTACACACTGAAATTTGAGCCCATCCCGAAGGCTCCAGACACGATATGCTTCTGAGATCTCTGTTCTACCTTCTGCCTCAACAAAACTGCACCAGCTGTTTTTAAAACCAAACTTAATAAATAAAAAGTAAGCTTAACGCATAAAAAGCACCATGTGATTTTATATAAGGTGACCTTCGATCGTTTGTTCCTTGCTGAACATCTGACGTCCCAGGCAAACGAGCATGTGCATGTCTGGCATAGGAGGAAGTGTCTGATGTAGGAGTTAGAAAACCAGACTTGTTGTTGAAAGTCTGCAGCTCGCGTACCTCTGGGAATATGTCATTGTTGCACGCAACAATAAAGGAACCTACCAGCTGAAATGAAATCCAGTCTGTATGCAGTACCGGTCGAGGCCTATGTGGTGTCATAGGCGAGCTTCACCTCTGGCGCCCCCTACCTGCGACATAGTGTAATTGACTGGCACACTAAGTGCCTGCCTGTGCCACCTAGAGGATTGACCGGCATTGTCCATATGGGTGGGTGAGACTGGGTGGGTTCAGAAAGTTTCTCTAGGTAAAAGTAACTGCAGAACGGGGAATAATGGAATTAGCAGTAGCTGTGTTACGACAGATGTGGAGGGACTGACGTAGCCGTTAGCCTGATGTAGCCTCATACCTCTGCTACTCAGGGACCATGTTGGTGCCCACTGTGTCCTTCTGGCTGCTCAACGCCCTGTTCCTCATCGCCGACGCCACGGGAAAGCCCAGCTTCATCACCCGCTACAGGATCCAGCAGGACAAGAACAATCCGGTAGGGTCAGGTCTGGCCGCCGTCTGATGGCCCAGCAAGTTTATCGTCAGTGGGATAATCATCTAGAAGACCATCGCAAAGGTTACTAGAGTACCATATATAAAGGGCACTACAGTTCAAACTGTATCCCTCCACAGCGTTGATTAGATAGTGGCTGACATTAGACCGATAAATCTTTCATTGGCCTACGACCAGTTAACGAGATAGTGCAGATGGTTGGTCGGCATATTCGCCGCAGGAATTCTGCCCGCATAAGCAGTATCTGCTCACGAGCGGGAAGTTAAATAAGCAGAGATGCACTTCAGTTACCATAAATCGGTGTGCATCGGCATGTGCCGTTAAAGCACAATTCATTGGTACAAGACGTACAACCGCCTCCCGCACACAAACGAAAAGGCTCTACAGTTTTAATTTTCCCTATTGTTTTTACCTTCTGTAAAGCATGTTTAATTACCCATGTGTATGAATGGTGTTATATAAATATATTTGGTTTTACCTATAGCAGACAGAGAAGGGTATACAGCCAATGGTATAGAAACCAGGGGATGTGTACCCCCCAATATTTAATTTAGCTTCATTCATCCTCCCCCCATGTAAATCAATCTTTGTATTTAAATTATTCAGTGGTGTCACCCCCACAATCTCTCCTGTGCCGTTGCCTACAGCCTAAAGAAGGGCTGAAAGTGCTAAAGGAAATCAGATAATGTTTAGTTAGACCGTGGCTTTCTGTCATTTGGCATGTTTACCATTTTTGATTTTTTTACGGAAAAGTGCTATCTGACCTGTGGGAGCTCCCGAGGGGGGTGAGAGGTCAAAGTGTAGTAGTGGCCTTATCACCCCCCCCCCCCAGGAGCAAAGGTCACCTGAGACAAGACTGCAGCCAGGCCAACACTAAAATGGGAAATAGCGTACGCTTGAGAATGAAGTCATTTCTGAATTTTTTTACATGCCCTATCATCAGCAGATGGTTCAATGACAACGTATGACAATATTTACGCCGTGTGGTTGATTTGGGCGCCTCGCCCATTCGCTGGCTTTGTGGATGCTCGCCTGCAGGTCGACCCGGTGAGGTTACGCCAGGCCATCAGGAAGGTTTTGAGGAACCAGCTGTTCCTGTCCGTGCCCATGGTGCTGGTCACCTACGCTCTGATGCAGTGGCGAGGGACCCCCTGTAGCCTGGAGCTGCCCACGTTCCACTGGGTTATGCTGGAGCTGGCTGTCTGCGGCCTCCTGGAGGAGATCCTCTTCTACTACTCACACAGGCAAGGGCCCATCTCAAACGCCCATAAAAGGATAGTAGGGAAAGGCTCATTAATATTCATAAAGGATGTGCTACCTGATTGGCTTGTCAGTAGGATGGCAGGGGATGAAAATTTAATATTCATAAAGCAAGCTTTATGAGTGGCTGGTCAGTGAGATAGCTCATTAATACTCACAGAAAGCACTACCTGATTGGCCAGTGAATCACTTGCTTATGAATATTAATGAGCCTTCCCCTCAGAGTTATCCATCCTTGAACGGTTCTTCTCACTCAAGTGCTCTTTCGCTTCTTCAGGCTCTTCCATCACCCAGCCTTTTACAAGCACATACACAAGATCCATCATGAGTGGACCGCACCCATTGGGGTGGTGTCCCTCTATGCCCATCCAGTGGAGCATGTGGTGAGCTGGGAACCCGTTTGACGTTCAGTCCCATACACGCTATTGAGAGACTACGCCAATACATAAAACATCCGATTGGCCCCTAGCTCTCCAGCATCATTCCTGCTCTGATTGGTCCCCAGGTGTCCAACATGCTGCCTGCCCTGATTGGCCCGATTTTCCTTGGCTCCCACCTGACCACCACGTCCCTGTGGTTCACCATCGCGCTGCTTGTCACCACCATCTCTCACTGCGGGTACCACCTCCCCTTCCTGCCATCTCCCGAATTTCACGACTTCCATCACCTCAAGTAAGTCCCGTGGTGACAGCGGTGAGCTGTTCTTATGACTGAAGGAACTACATCACAGCTAAGTCTACATTAAATGATAGAAAAACACTGAGTCACTGAGCTGTATATCAACAACCTGTTTAAACCAGGGCGGTGTTCCACAAAGCAGGATGTCTCAGTTAGCTGGGTTAACTTAAGCTAGAAGTCATGATTGTCCAATAGGTAGTGATAACCAAATGAAGCGTCATAAACCATTTTATGCATTTTTTGACCCCCACTAGATGGCATTCTTGGTTTGCTTTGGGGTATGAATTGAGCCCGTTTTTGAACAGAAAGCACCATCTAGTGGTGCCAGAAAATACAGCAATTGGTTCATGAAGCTTCATTTGGCCATCATTACCAATAGGAATGCTCCGTACCCAACTCTTATTGGACAATCATGACTTAAATCATAAGTAAACCCTACTTTGTGGCACCCACCCCCCCCCAAGTTAAGATAATTAAGAAATTTCAAAGATTTAAGCACAAAAATATTTAAATGAGTTCCACCCAGCTCTCATTGGGTGTTCCATACAGATCTACCACCTTAGGAGCTGGAGTCGTTAGCCAGCTCTCATTGGGTGTTCCATACAGATCTACCACCTTAGGAGCTGGAGTCGTTAGCCAGCTCTCATTGGGTGTTCCATACAGATCTACCACCTTAGGAGCTGGAGTCGTTAGCCAGCTCTCATTGGGTGTTCCATACAGATCTACCACCTTAGGAGCTAGAGTCGTTAGCCAGTTCTCATGCTCTGCCATGAAAGGGTCACCCAGGCAGACTGAGGAGCAAAAAAGCTCTTTTTGGGCAGGGATGATATGCAAGGTGCAGCTGAAAGCTTAACAACATGCTAATGCCATCATGTAGCCCGCCAGCAATAGCCAATGTAGACTGGATCAGCGTTTTTAAATCGGCTTCCGAGCCCACAACACGGCAACCGGTTCAAACTAGATCGAGGCAGGCTGTCGGCCATACAGACGTGGTGCTGACGGCGTGACTCCTCCTCCTGTCCCCCGAAGGTTCAACCAGTGCTTCGGCGTACTCGGCGTTCTCGACCGGCTGCACGGCACCGACTCGGCGTTCCGGCAGACAAAGGCCTACGACCGGCACGTGCTGCTGCTGGGCCTGACCCCTCTGACGGAGAGCATTCCCGACCAACCCAAGAAGAAAGAGTGACCTTTGCCCTTTGACCCCAGACACTCAGGCAGAGAGGGAGGCGCCATCCACAAATCTACCAGATGACCTGAACGGGGAGGACCAGCACTTATGAACAGAACTCTTACATAAAGCTTCGGTTCAACAAACAACTTTACTGATGTTTGTGCTCCAGGAAAAATAGCCTTAATTATTTTTGTAGCACTTTTTAGTATCGTCCAAACTTTAAAAACTTTTATTACAAAGCAGTGGTCCCTGTACATATCAAATATATACATATATTAATTTAAACACTACAATGTAAAGTATTATACATTTTAAAAGATCCCTTGCTGTTTGCATTTTAATTATTCTCCTACAACCATGTGGTATTTTCTTTTTATAGACAAGTGACTTGATCAGACATTTAGAATAATGTTAATCTATGTACATTGGTTTGCAAAATATTTCCAATAGTGATTTGACAGCATACACTTAACATTCCACTGCTTGCACTGTCATACAAACTAATGTAGCTGTTTTTTTTGTGGTACACTGTTCTCCTGCAATGTTTCAATCTAATAAAGGATTCTACAGTACTATGGGAAAATGCAGCTTGAGTATAATTAAAAGGAACGATATGCAAGTTATACAAACAGACCATATATAAAGGTGCAATACCTCACTCAGGTCAGCAGAGGTCACTTTTCCCCACCAAGAGGCACAAACTTGACATGATGAATTCAGTTCTAAGCACTGATCGTCCAACACGAACAAAGACACAGCAACCTGATTTTTGGTGTTTAAGGTTTTTTTTGTCCGTTTTGTTGTTTTTTTTTTTTTATTTATTAAGGAAAAGCATAATTACTACAAATTACAAATGACACTAATAGCAAATCACATCAGCCTACAAAGCAGATATTATGAATATTCAATGATATAATACAAGACCTCATTCAAGTATTTTACATTTTTTCATTTTATATATTTTTTTGTTTCTTTTTAGTTACCTTTTTTAATCTGTGATAAGTCAAGGATTTTGCAATGTTATGAACTATTAACATAATGGATCATATACAGCTATTTAATTTATATGGCTTAATGGAATTTTTTGTCCTTTTCTGTCCCTCTACATCATAGCCATGTACCTCCAAACCCTGGCTTTCACCCGAGGCAACAGTGCCCCCACTGCAGGAAAAAAAAACACCACAATAATAAAAATGTGGCACACCTCAAACCAGAACGCCAGCTGCTCGTGGCGGGGGCTTCACCGTGATGCGGCAAAGCAGACCTATGAAACGTAGGGCACTTAATCCCAGAGATATAGGTCATCAAATGACATAGGGACTCCTTGAGGAAGGGCACCCCCTGCTGGCCATAGAGTTCATGCGCCTCACCCCCTTGTCATCTGAAGAGTTCAGGCTTCAAAATAGTTACGAATCATTGACTGATGCATCAATTCTGAGAACTACAGCTACTTTCATCCTTTAAGAAAATGCAGGGGGGGGGGGGGGAGGTAAGGATTCCTTACATAATCTGAAAGATGCCATGACAAAAAGAAACAAATGGAGACAATCCAGAATTTCTGAGATGGAAACGTATGCTTAAATAACTTTGCTGAAGATCACTTCAGTCACCAGCAGAGGGAGCCTGTGAGCATCTGGACCCTCTGAAAGAGTGTTCCAGGGTCTATTTATGGAGTCCCACAGAACCAGAGCTTGACCACAGTCAGAGCCACGTAGATGCCTGCCATCGAAGTTCTTCATCAATCCCATTGTTTCACTGTGGCATGCAGTTTGTAAACAAAGGATTTTTATTTTTAAAGAAAGCTTGTTTTCTAGACTCTTCCCATTTCTAATTCCAATTGCATGAATTTGTTCCTTAAAGGTCCAGCTCCCTTTATGCAAAACTGCGTTCCCATGTGCGAAAGTTCAGAGGTATTATAGCTAACACAAACTCATCACTGACATACCCAACTCCCTGGCAGACTAGAACACAGCAAATTAAACTTAAAATCACTAAAAGATTATGAGACCATTAAAAAAAAAAAAAAAAAAAAAGCATTTACACATGTAAGGCAAATGTATATAGGGTTAAAAAGCATCTGGGAGCTGTGATCTTGGTTCATCGCTGCAAATTCACATTTACAGTGATTCAATTCGATGCGATTAACTTTAAAACCCTGCTGAGGAGCCATGGCGGACGATGGAGGCATGAAGAGGGAAACCGGGCTTCGTCCATGCAGGTCGGGGACTGCGATGACGAAGGAGCTGTGTACCAGGATGAGGCCTCAAAGCAGGACCCAAAATGGGCAGGGGGGGAGGCTTGTGTTCTTTGGCCGAATGTGGATGCAATTTTAAAACACTGGGATCAGGGGCGGTTGGTGAATCTCCCAGAAGGTGATTACTAGCAGTTTGCGTTTTATTTTTTCCTCTTCATGCATCTTGCATCTTGTGTGTGTGTTGGGGGGGGGGGGGGGGGGCAGAGAACTCATCACCTCCTTCTGCCAAAGCCCCCGCACCATTAAGGTACGCTGTGATAACCTTTATACAGTTTGTGTTTTGTTTACTCTTTTTTCTTATTTTTTTTTTCAAGTATTCGGAGTTCAAGTCCGCCTGGGATTCCGGCGACGGTGAGAGAAGGCGTTGACTCTCCTCCAGAGACAAGAGCTGCGGTGTGTGTGTGGGGGGGGGGGTTGTGTGTGGGTGGGGGCCGGGGTAGTGCAGGCTGCAGGAAGCTGATTAGCCCTCCCCCAGTGAAGCTTGAGCACAAATTTAGCCACAAACTGCAAACACGATACGTAGTGGGAGGAGAGGCGGCAGCTGTAACAGACCAAAAGACACGTGGAAGACCATCAAAAGGTAGAAAGTTCTGGCGAGCAGGACGGGGGGGGGGGGGGGCGCCGTGCGGCCATGATGCGTTAGAATAACGCAGTCAGGATGACGTACAATCGGCTAGCGTGAGGGAAGGTGGGGCACAAACAACGTGGGGGGGGGGGGAAACCCCATTAAAATAAGGCAACTGTAAGAGGTCCAGCGCATCACAAGGGATCTGCACAACGTCCGTTTCTTTTTTTTTTTCCTGTCTCCCCAACTTTTGGTATTTTATTATTTTTTAAGTTCTGTTTTTCCTCATATTTTTCCAGCCCTCAAACCCAGTCAAGTAATTAACGGTCAAAGCACAAGTCTCCAGAATACCGCTCCACCAAAAAAATAAAAAAATAAAATAAAATTTTAAAAATAAGGTAAATAATTAAATTCCAAATGCGTAGTAAGGAATTACAGGACGTCTTTGAGCCAGAGTTACGGTGTCAGTTGGAGAAGTTGAAGGTAAAATTAAATAGAAATTAAAAAGAGAAAAAAAAAAAAAATCCCACAAGACGTACGGCGTTCAAATCCACGGCCATCAAAATGTGGGTGAATAAAACGTTTTTCCTTTTAAACTGAAAACAGCTAAAAGCTCTCTCCTAGCAGTCCCTCCGGTCTAATTTGGATTAAAACCAAAACAAAACGGGAAAAAGGATAACGTGTAAAACACGGCCGCAGCCCCGAAGTCACAGGCCACTCGTTAAAATCTTCTCCGTCGTGCTCATGTCAATTTCCAGACCTCCTTGTGGCGAGAAACAAAAACATTGGGGTTGTGGTGGTGGTATATAACGGCATTAAGTTAAACAGCTAGCGGTCCCGCCAAGGCTACTTCGGTGACTTGGCGTCCGACGGCGCAGTGCGCTGGCTCGGGGGTTTGGCATCGTCGCTTGGTGCCCCCTGCTGGGGCTGGGGGGGGCTTGCGCTGGACTGGCCGCCGGACTGCGACGAGTGCCGGTGTCGGCCCTGGGATTCTCTACTCGATGCGTGCCTCTTCCTCCCGCCTTCCTCGATCGGGGGCTGAAACAGACGAAGCGACCGAGAGTCAGAAACACTGCGTGCATGGGAGCGGAAAACGGACGCACTGGGACCTGCACCACCAAGCAGGATTTCTTAGCCGGATAACGGATTTAAGGTAGCCTGGGCTAAAATGTAAGCGGATGGATAAAGTCCATTTCAACTGGGGTACCTTGTATCCGACAAATTATCTGGGCTAAGCAAAACATCTGGCTTCGCAATACGGGCCACCGGTGTGTAGTCACTCTATTATAGTTCTTATTTAATTCTATAATATTTTCAATTTTCATTTGAAATAAACTTTTAAGTATTAAAGAAAGCATTACTTTAGCTAAACAGTATTTTTAAAAACGGTAAAGTATTTCATATTTGTTGTACAAGCTAGTTTCTGAAACGATAATCGTAGTTTTCATTTAGTTGTTCTTTATTTTCGTAACTTAAGTCAAGTTTACGAAACTTATAGGCTTTCGTCAACGATATTAACCTTTATGTCAGTGGTGCTGCAACCAAAATTCAAGGACGACCTTGAAAAATGTAAATACAAAAAGCATTTGAGGAAAAATACGCATTTGAAGAACTGGTTAATAACCAGTAAATATCTGGCAAATACCTTGTTTACTGTAGCACTGGAAAAGGCAGTTCATACTCTACTAACTGCAGAGTGGTGCAATGAGAACTTCACGCAAATCACACACATAATACACAAGAAGGTAAGTGAAAAAGAGATCGGTTACGAGTTGAGACTGTTCTCCTCGACAAGAGTCCAAAAAGCTCCAAAATATGGAGGTATTTCCAAAACGTGGTTATGATTAATGGGTACGGCAACGCAAGAAACCAAATATCCGAAAACGAAAATATTTGATAGTTGCAGCCCTAGAGTGCAGTGTTGGAGTGTGGTGACCTGGAGGAGCACAGCAGACTAGGAACGTCTTCCTACCACACCTGCCGACCACCTGGAAGCTTAAGCTGAAGAACTCAAAACCCAAGAGCTGCAGGTTCCAGGGCCGGGGCTCTGCTATTGGACCCTAGAGCTAAAAGGCGACCATCATACTCACGTCGACTCTGAAGTCCTCGAGGCGTTTGAACTTGCTCAGGTACTCTTGTAGCTTTGGGTCGATTTCCAAGCTTTTCGCTTTGGAATATTTCAGGAAGGCCCAGAACTTTTCGAGCCCGTATAGTTGGCCTAAGGAAATGGGGATGTGGGAGAAGAGACGGGAAAAAAATTCAGTGGAACTACCAAAGGCTGCAGAAAGTCTGTTCAACGTGTACAGGACGGCACAGCTCACCAGCTTCGTAGTCCTTGACGGTCTCCTCCTGAAAGTCTTTGAATATGTCCGGTCTGAACTTCCTCTCTAGGCCGTAGCTGTAATACCTGAAGAGGCACTCCAGACCGTACCTAAGCAGACACAGCAGACAAGGGTAAGAACTGCACTGTGCCGACAGTCCAATCCAGGAGATTAAACTCCTGAGGGACAATAGGAGGTAGTGATTACAAAGTGTTAAACTAGTCAACAGTGACCTATACTACACAATAACCAGCCCAGTTGCTGTACTTCCCTAAGTGAACATTGCCTCCAGGGCCAGACTGATTGCTAGCCTGTGATTGGTTATGGTCGTGTCAATATTATACATTAACCAATGAAGACCGCCGCGTGAGCGTGGGGAGCGGGTCGCACCTGTATCCCTCCT